GCCCAGGAAAATAGAAGGAACTAGAAATCCTCCATTCTCCAGGGTTCACGCGTGCTCCAGGGCTGGCCTAACCTAAGTGTCTCTACTGGGCTCCCTTTGAATTCCAGATCCTCCTCACTGCGGATGGGGTGGGGTGAGGTTTTGGGTGGGTTCCAGCCTGAGAGGCTGATGATGCCAAGCCTGCGCCAAAGGCCTTTGCCCTGGGGAGCTGAGCCCGGGAGTTGGCCAGGATTAGAAAGAGCTGTAGGGGTCCTGAGACCAGCTAGCACCAAAAAGAGGCAAAGCCCAAACAGAGCAAGAGACCAATTAAGCGGAGCTGGTGCTGGGGTTACTCAACTGTCAATGTCTGGGCGGATTCAGAGCCCTTCCCTGCAGATGGAGAGCTGGCACCGGGGTATTTGGAAGTTGTTTTGCTCGTTCCACCTCTTGCTGGCTGGATCATTAGCGGTTCCTGCGGGAACAGACCCGGGCAGCAGGCATGGGACCTTCACTGCACGTGTAGTGGACAGCAATCTACAGATCAAATAAATTAGGGGGAGATTTTCAAAGGCCCAAAGGGCAGTTAGGTGCCCAACGCCCCCTCACTGTCCCAAGGAATTGGGTGCTTAATTCTCCTTTGTGCCTTTGAGAAAAATGCCCCTCTCAGTGCTTGTCTACCCAAGAAAATTGACCAACACAGATAAAGCGGAATAACTATTATTCCAGTCATTAATAACTATTCTGCTGTAGTTCTGCTGGTCAATTTCCACAGCTATATAAGCTGTTAGAGAATTATTTCATGAATAATAGATGACGATGGTAAACCATGACGTTGGCTGAGGCCTCCAGGACAAAGGCCCTGTCTGTTCCGCATGGGCATCGAAGGTCACAGGCACCTTTCATTAGAGGAAAGGTTTGCCCCAGCCTCTTTGGACTGCAGAAGGGACTGCATTTCAGTGACCCCTGCAAGAGCTATATAGAAGGTTCTCACACAAACAATGCCTTCAGTGGTGTCAGTCGAGGCACTGATTACTCTAACCCAGGGCATGGTCATGCTACCTCTTGTGAGGTTCCTTATTCTACCCACCTGATAACAGCATTAACTCTTCATTATTTATTTGTGTTCTAGTGTCCAGAGGCCCCCCCCCTGGTGATCAGGGCCCCGTTGTGCTAGGCACCATACAAACACAGTGGAGGACGTGCAATTTGAAATTCCCTGTCTGCTGGTTGGTGATTGATCATTCCTGTTCTCTCCCTCGCCTCGTGTTAGCTCTGGGCACAGACTGGTGCAAAGCCTGCATTAGGATGAGATAGGCACAAATTGGAGCTAGTTCTCTTGAGCTGAGGACTCCAATGGTGGTTAAGCTAGAAAACTATTATGGTGCTTTTCCTGCAAATCCAGTAGGGGGAGCCAGTTGGTTACTGAGAGATGGTTCGCGTGGGCCAGAATTTCAAAAGAGCAGGGCTCCTATTTCGGCCCCCTAATGAATGTTCTCTTTGAAATTCTGGCTACTGATTTAGGTGCCTACATGGGAGCTGTTGGATGCTGAGTTCTCTTGAAAATTGGACCCTGAATGTTTATTTTTGTGCTACAGCATGAGCCAATACATGTCTTTGGATCAATCGACTGCACCGCACTAATAGGACCCCGGGAAAGTGCAGCGATGCACATTTGTACAGTGAGATTTTAAAAACAGACCCCGAGTTGTTAGGAGTCCTATCAACTGAGTAATACACCCTTGAAGTGGCTGGTGCTGGTGCAGCCCAGAGCTAGCCCTGTGTTGGTTACATGCAGTGACGTTTGTGTTAAATTAAACATGACACACTGTGCTTGGACAGAGTATCCCCAACACTTACTTCTTGTTGCTATCGCTCTGTCTTTGGGGTTTGAGCTTTTGGGTTTCTCATTGCCCAGTCTTGGGGGAGAAGCCTTATTCTTCTACCTTATTTTGTATTGCACAGCAGGGGAGAGTAATTTGATCTTCTTTCTAGTGTTGTTTAGACTGTGGAGTGTGTCCTTTATGGACAGTGGTGATTGAAACTGCCTGCTCTCTTGATTATTTGAAATCCCGTATTTCAGGCACTTGATTGCCTATTTTGTTCCTTTGTAAAAAGGGCGAGAGAGGACTGGTTTGCCACCGTAGAATCAATATTTTCAATAGAAAAGCTCTGACAGAAACTGCAAGGGTTTTGAAATTTGTTGCCTAAAAACAAATTTTGTCTTAGCCTGGAAGGAATTCGGATTTAGCAACATTTTAGGCCCCTTTTTAGATTTTAGACTGAAAAGTAAATAGAGGGTTTGTGGCTCTTGAGACGTTTGGTATTTTTGTTCTGTTGCTCCAGACTCCAAATTTTTTTATGAACAGGCAACCTTAATAGTAGATGGTGCTTAACAGCCAAAACTTTCCTTCATTTACAAGCTTTCATCAGAAAGATACTGAGCTAATTCATACCTAAACCGAGCCTGGCCTCCAGTGGCCAGCTCCAAAGTATGTCGGAACACACACTGAGAATGAAGCTGTCCTATTGGTCCAGGTGTCCAACTGCTAGGGAAGGACCGGTTCTGTCCCAGTATTCCATCTCCATAGGAACAGACAGAGGCGTTTGAAGTGAGAAGGTTGTTACTTTATTTGCCCTTTGAATTTTGTAAAGTATTTGTATGGTTTATAATGAAAATAATAAGGACCTCTGAGGTCAGGAACATGCTGGCATTTAACGAGGGGCTGTGTTTACAGCTGTTGTATTAATTTAAATAGAGAATGAATGGGCCGAAGGTGTTAATATAACCCAGTCACTGTTCAGTATTAAACCATGCTAAACAAAGTTCGGGTATGGAGAGACCTCAGCTTGATTAGCACCATGGCAAACGTGCCATTACATTGTATAACCTTTCATTAAAGATATCAGAGGGGTAGCCGTGTTAGTCTGAATCTGTAAAAAGCAACAGAGGGTCCTGTGGCACCTTTAAGACTAACAGAAGTATTGGGAGCATAAGCTTTCGTGGGTAAGAACCTCACTTCTTGCATCCACAGACTTGCATCTGAAGAAGTGAGGTTCTTACCCACGAAAGCTTATGCTCCCAATACTTCTGTTAGTCTTAAAGGTGCCACAGGACCCTCTGTTGCTCATTAAAGATATGGAAAAGAAGGAAAAACCTTCTTTTGAAAGCATTTGAAATGTGAAGCATTCAATAAAGCGTTCATTTTAACAACTTTGTTCCATTTCCCTTTAGCTGGAGAGAGTTTTTAGAAGGAAAAGCCCCTTGGTTGACAGTCTCTTAGATGATATTAAAGATGGTAATAACTGGCCTTTTGGGGGAAAGAGAAGAAGTGAGTTGAGATGGGCTGAAGCTGTTGCTCTTAAAGTCCGATCCCATTTCATCCCAGGTGGTATCTGGGATTCAGCTGGCGCTGGCAGAGTGGGGGTCTTATTTGGGCTCTTCTGCTTGGCCCGATCTGGTCAGGACATCTCTCAGGATCAAGGCCAACAAGGACTGGGGTTCCAGGACATGGTGAGGGTGGCAGCCGTGACGGTGAACCTCACTCCAGTCGATGCCGTCTGTTCTTCTCTATTTTTCCCCCCTCCAAAGTCTCTTTCTTTAAAGACCCCCAGAAGGAGTGGTGGGTGGAGTAGCCCAGCCCTTCATTATTTTGTCCACCAGTTAGGCCTAATATTGGACACACCAGTCTTGGCTCATAAATTTTTGGTTCCACATCTTCTGTCTTTACCAAGCATGATTTCAGTGGCGTCATGGGATTATATCAACATGGCCTTTTTGTTTAGACTAATTCAATCTTTTTGTCTCCCTTTCGTACCTCTTTCCATTAACATTTCTTATTATGAGTTACTGTGACATTTGTAAAAAGCAACAGAGGGTCCTGTGGCACCTTAGAGACTAACAGAAGTATTGGGAGCATAAGCTTTCGTGGGTAAGAACCTCACTTCTTCAGATGCAAGTAATGGAAATCTCCAGAGGCAGGTATAAATCAGTATGGAGATAACGAGGTTAGTTCAATCAGGGAGGGTGAGGTGCTCTGCTAGCAGTTGAGGTGTGAACACCAAGGGAGGAGAAACTGCTTCTGTAGTTGGTATAGCCATTCACAGTCTTTGTTTAATCCTGAT